GATGATCTGAAACATTAAAGTGTGACACATGCAAAAAAATAAGAACTCAGGAAGGGGGCCAACACTTTTTCACACCACTGTAAATGTCCCCACAAGGTCAAAAATGACTGTATTGCCATCTTTGGGGAGTTTTTGTTCCTATAATGTAGAGATTACCAGGACCAAACACACACACACACATATTACAAGTATATGTATATGTTGTTTGAAAGTGATTGTTAACTAGAGTAGTCAACATTTGAAGTGGCTCAAAAAAGTTGTGAACAGGTATTGTTTTGGTTTTAGGACAACTTTGATGAAAGGTTTTGATCCACTTCAAATGTTGACTACTGTAAATCTTAAACTGTGTCTAATGTCTCTAAATATGTTTTTCAGTGTCACTGAATTTCTCTGGAAAACAGAAGCTGAATCTCGTGCTGTGTGGATGTGATAGCACACTTAAGGTCTCTGTGTCCAAACTTTTACGAGGGAAAAAGATAAAACCTTCACAACAGAGAGCGATCAGTGAAGAGTGTGTGAAGAGAGAGGAGAGGATACATGGACGTCTGATCAGTTTGCTAGAGCTTCCAGCTCTTACTCAGCTCCCAGAAGAGGAAGTGATGCATCAGACTCTCAACTGTGTGTCTCTCTGTGATCCTGGAGTTCATGTTTTCCTCCTCATTGTTCCTGCTGTTCCACTTAATAATGATGAGAGAGCAGAAATAGAGAAGATCCAGAATATATTTGACTCCAGAGACCATTTCATGGTGCTTTTCACAACAGAGCTCATTATTATTAAAAAAGTGACTAATTTTGTTGAATCCAGCCCAGAATTTCAGAGGTTAATCAGTCGTTGTGGAGGTCAGTACATAGTGATGGGGTTAAATGAACCGAAAAATTCAAGACAGATCCCAGAACTACTGGATTATATAGAGAACATGAAGACTGAACCCTATTCACTTCAAATGTATGTGAAAGCTCGAGAGAACAGAGTCAGACATGAACTGGAGGAACAACATAAGAAAGAAATGGAAAATAAAATCAAAGAGCTACAAGGCACGGTTCAGTCAGAAGGTGAGTGTATTTATTTTTGTGTTGTGTATGACATCTTGTGTGTATAAGTGTAATCTCCTTCAATCTCCTTATCTACTTCTCCTCCACTGATGATAATTTACACCATGTTAAAGCCATTTGTGGTCAAAGTGAATGCCTCTATAGGAGTAGGGGTGTTGTTGTCTTAGCTTTATGGCAGTCCCCAAAAACTCCATTCCTGTGCAGCCTTCTCCAAGAAGCTTGATTCCAACCAGCAGAACTTTGACACTGGTAAAGGGAAGCTGCTGGCCATGAAGGTCCCAGTACCCTTACCAGGTGATCACTGGCCAATGCAACCTGGAATATCTACATATCTCTGCTAAACTCCTCAATCCCCATCAGGCATACAGGGCCTGAAATGACCACAAATGGCTTCTTCACCTGCTTCCAATTCACAGTCACATGCAGGCCTGGATCCAAGTACACCAAGGCCAATGCCTTCTCCCGGCTTCATACACCAGATCCACCTTTTAACAGTCCTGAGACAATTATTCCACCATTATTGTTAATCACTTCCATTCAGTGATACATTGCGTCAGCTACCACCCATCACCCTGCTCCAGCAGCTTGCCCTCAGAAATGTTCCTTCATGCTTAAACAGCCCTTGCTCCACACCCAGCACTGGTCACCCTGGGATCAAACACACATCTTACCCTGAGTGTTAGGTGGAAAAGTTTGGTACTGCACCAAAAACAAAATCTTATTGAAAGCTCGTTTTTTGATATATCAACCTCAATATTGGAACACAACTTGTTCAGATTTTTGGTTTTCATTTTCTGGCAGTTTTAGAGTTCAACATGTTTTGTAAAATATATTTTTTATCTAAAATATTAATATTTTAATGTTTACATTTTATATGTTCATAAACTTAGACTTCCATATCTTTTTTGTAATATCATTTTTATACAAATTTTCAATAATCTGCAAAGTGTCTTCTTTAAAAAGAGCTCAATCTTAAGTCTGTGGTCAAAAGCATTCAAAATGTATAACAATCTATGTTGGAAATGTCATTTTCAGATCTGTGCTCAAAAAGTGGAATCCTTCTGGGTTCAACATTTCAGTTCACACTTCAGAAAGAAAGTGCAAGCTGTCGTTCCAACTCAGAAGGGAGACATTTCTTAAAACATTTCAGTTCACAGTCCCTTCAGAAAGTGCAAGCTGTCGTTCCAACTCAGAAGGGAGACATTTCTTAAAATGTAGTGACATCTGCTTTTGCTAACTCTTTTTTTTTTTTTTCAACTTTATTTTCAGGTGCTGAAGGTGAAACAGTTGATCAGGAGTGTTTGAGGATTGTGCTGATCGGGAGGACAGGAAATGGAAAGAGTGCAACAGGAAACACTATTCTGGGAAGAAATGAGTTTCCCAGCCGAATGAGCACAGATTCAGTGACGACTGCATGTGAAAAGAGAGTTGGTGAAGTTGATGGTCGATCAGTAGCTGTTGTTGATACTCCAGGACTCTTTGACACAACACTGACAAATGATCAATTGGTGGAAGAAATAATGAAATGTGTTTCACTGTCGTCACCTGGACCTCATGTGTTTGTCATTGTGTTGAGTTTGGGAAGATTCACCAAAGAGAAGGTGGACACTATGGATCTGATAAAGAAGATCTTTGGTCCAAAAGCTGTTCAGTTCAGCATTGTTCTGTTCACTAGAGGAGACGAACTTGAGAATGAGTCAATAGAACATTATGTGAAGAGAAGTAACTCTGCAGAACTGAAGAAACTGATCAGAGATTGTGGAAACAGATTCCTGGTTTTCAATAACAGAGAGAAACAAGATACAACTCAAGTGATTCAACTGTTAAAGATGATAGAAGAGGTGAAAAATACTAATCAGGGTCGATACTTCACCAACAGCATGTTTGAGGAGGCAGAGATGTCCATTAAAAAGAGAATGGAGGAAATAATGAAAGAGAAAGAAAAAGAAATTCAGGCTCAGAAAGATGAGTTACAAGCCAAATATGAGAGGGATATGAAAAGCAAGATGAAGGGACTCGAGGAAAAGAAACTAAGAGCAGACGAGGAGAGAATGAAAATGCAGAATCAGCTGAGAGAAAAAGAGAAAAACCTCAGAAAAGAGTTTGAAGAAAAAGAGAAAACAGATCAGAAGAAACGAGAGACTGAAAACCAGAAACGATCAGAAGAGGAAAAACAGCAAAGAGCTGAATTTAATCGAAAAATAGAAGAGATGAAAAGAAGCGAGAGACAGAAACATGAGAAGGAAATAAAAGACATGATGAAGAAACATCAAGTTGAAGCCAGAAAACAAGCAGAAGAATTTCATAAGTCGACAGAAAGAAAACTGCAGCATGTTCTGGAGCTCACAGAGATGCTTAAAGAGCATCAAAGACAACATAAAGCACTGGATAAACTTGATAAATAAAAAAGAAAAAAGAAGATAAAAGAGAGGAAAAAAAAGAACTACAACTATTGTAATAAAATGAAGAATAAAACAGGTTTTGTCATTTTGTGATATTTCTGCATTATTTAATAAAAGCAAAGAATAAGGCAAAATTATTTTTATTTATTTATGGGGGGGGGGTCTATCATAAATAGACCTCATTATTTATGATAGTTGTTATCAGGTTCAGTTGTTCAACAATGTTCTAAAAATTCAGTAGGCCTAATTGGCATTTTAAAGAGGAAAAGTTTTGATTTCTGTACTAATATTTTAAGTGAACATAAGAAATTAGAAGAAATAAGGATAAATATATTGGATATATTATCTAGTGTTAGGGTTGAAGAATATGTTGTTTAGAAGTTGTGCAAGGAGGGGAAAGCACTTCTCTTTCTCTTATGTATCTAACTCCAGTATTACTAAATGTAATACTGTCTCTTGCACTTCAAACGATTGCTTGTAAATATTGTTTGTATTTTCAAATTACAAAATTACTTTTTATTTAAATACATTTCTCACACCAGTATTTTTGTATTTTCCCATACAGAAGTCACATAGATTGAAATATATTAATAATAAATTGATTTTCATATCTTAAATTCAAATAGAAGAAAATATATTTTATACAATATATGTCAATATATTTTGAAATATATATTAAAAATATATTTAAATATTTGATTTTGGACGCTTTTTTATATTTTTCACATATATTAAATATATGTACATATATTTTTATCGGAAATCTTTACATATTTATTTCCTTTATATGTAAATACATTGAAATATCAGACTATGTAAATATATTAATTTGCAATATATGTCCATATATTAATTTATAATATTTGTTAACATATTACATTTCTGTACATGTAAATATATGATTTCTATAAATGTAAATATATTTTAAAACATTCAAATATTCAATTAAATAAACTTAAACGTTTCATAGAATATATTCCCGTTTACTCAAACTTTATGTAAATAAATTAAATCTTTTTTTTCATTTTATATAGATTATAATTTGCCCCTTCATAATAGAATACAAACAAAATTTGGACACTGAAAAACTGTAAAACTCTCCAGACATTGTAACTTAAAAACAGTGACAATATAAATGGACTTATTAATATAAAGAGTACATTTATCAACACCAATTCAGCATGAACCAACAAAAAATATGAATGTTCATGATGTTTCTGGCACATAAATGAAAGATTATCCTTCTGTAAGCATCCAGGGTCAAAACATTATGCATAAATATGCAAGTCTTAGTAGGCATTCAACACACAGTATTTAAATATTTAAGAGCCATCATTAACTATGCACAATTTCTCAACTAATCACATGCTCCCCTATTGAACCCGAATCAAGCATTGTAATACATCAGCTAATCAGGCCCTTAACCAACCCAATTCCAATAATTAATTGGAAATCATATGCAAAAAAATAAAAATAAAACAATAACAATATCATGCCTGGGATTCTTTCATTGCAGATTACATTGTTATGTCAGTAGGTGGGAGCAAGGGACTGTCTTAATCAGTTAGTTAACCACTGAAAGAATACTATGACAAAGATATCACTTTATGGATATACAGCAAATGTGGGGGAATTATGATTCACACTGGTGCACTTATGAATAGATTTATTATAGCAAACCAAGTTTAATGAATCTCACACCTAACATACAACATTATGGTCATTTCACACTGCCAGAAAAACTATTTAAAAAAAAAAATGCTTATTTTGTTTTGTTTGCATTTTTCATGAGCTGAACTCAAAGATCTAAGACTTTTTCTATGTACACAAAAGGCCTATTTCTCTCAAATATTGTTCACAAAT